ATTTTTACTTTCAAACAGGTTCGTATATTCCACTTGTACAGAAAAAATTAATAATAGGAATAAATAGCAAATTATTTTTATTAAAACATAAATGTGTACCAAAACCAAAGAGAAGCAGAATTTATTAATCAAAACTATAAAAAATAAACGATCATTCAATCGCAAATGAAGGCCAGGCTCATATACTATATATAGGTATTAAATCTATACTTTTTAATAGAACAACGAAGAGCTGCTCGAATCATTGACGACCAAATCCTGTCCGATCGTCTCGATTCTTTGGCCCTACGAAGGGATGTTGCATCCCTTTGCATTTTCTATCGAATATATCATGAAGAGTGCTCTGAGGAATTGTTTGGGTTGATACCTGCAGGTGAATTTCACCATCGTACCACTCGTCAAACCGCCAAGTACCATCGACACCACCTTGATGGTTGGCGGTCCACCACTGTGCGTTTTTCGCGAATTTTTCTACCACGCACAACTACTTTGTGGAACGAGATGTCGCTAGCGGTATTTCCAGACCCATACGACTTAGGGACCTTCAAGTAGAGAGCCTATACCTACCTTAAAGGCCGGCAACGCAATTGCGACTCAACTGATGTTGTTGAAATGTCCATGGGAGGCGGTGATCACTTACCATCAGGTGACCCGCATGCTCGTTTGCCTCCTTTTTCCATAAAGAAAAAAAAGATACGCGATATTGGGTTAAGTTCGTTGTATAAATGTATTCATTAATATTCATATGTTATATCCTGTATACATATTTTTACGGGTTTATTTTTATGTAAGCGATAAAAATAATCGCTGCCTGCAATTATGTCAAATGTACAGTGATCTGCTAACAAACAGTGTGCTTATATACAGAGGCGGATTAAACATTGAGAGCGCTGTAGGCAAGCATCTCATCGGCGCCCCTACATTAAAGCTGTAAGGAACGACTGGCATATAAACCCCAAAATCATGAAGTTCCCTATATAATAATTTCTGGTTTTACACGCCAGTCGAACTTTTTAGTGTAAATAACAAGTTTTTCTTTTCGAAAACTATAAGCTACCAGAGAATTCTGCTTGCTGATTATTTCATTAATGATTTTTCTCTACCGAATAAAAAAAATTGTTAGGTCGAAAATCAACCGACGCTAATGGAAAAAATACCATAAATCTTGATTAAACCATTCAGTGCTATAATTATATTCATGTTTTTCGTTATTTATATCCCAATTGACTGGGTCACAATCCACCATAAACAGTTTATTTTTCGACTGTTTCACAACTTCTACTGCTGACGGAGTATGCGGCGTAGGCTCGGACAAATTTTGTAGTTATTTATAACTAGTAGGAATTTCATATTGCATAGGATTGACAGTAAACGTATTTTGGATCGCCTTAGAAGATTCAGAATCATCACTTTAAAAAAACGTCTCAATATTTTTCGTTTGCTTTATTACATTATAATGTTTTTCGTCTTTCGCTTTAGCCTTCCTTTTACACTCTGCACCACTAGGTTCTTTCTTAATTTACTCATTCTTTAAGTAATAAACAAAAACTTTATGGAATAATTAAATACACACATAACACCGCAGCAAGAATGTAAACAATAAAAGCTCAAACATGACTCCGTGGCGCAGTTGCTAAGGTATTTGCTTCGGCGTCGGGGGTCGTGGGTTCGATTCCCACACGGGGCAACTATTTGTGCGGCCCACAAATAGTTGTTTCGCATCTGGGTTTTTATCCACATGAAATTTATGTCTTGTAAAAAGTCCTTACAACACAGGATAATGTTATCTTGAAGTGAGGGCAATGCTTTTTTTTAAAAACAAGAAAAAAAAAAAACAAAAAAGCGCCCGAATCGAACCGAACTCGACTTCGAACACTTTTAGCTAGAAGTCAAAGATCGCGTATGGGAACAGCGCCAAACCACGTGGAACGCTATACTAGAAGACATCGAGCCGTCGCACATCGCCTACTGGCGGATGGCCCGTAGTATGAAAGCAGAGCCCCGCGAATGGCTACTGCCATTAGTAATACCTAACATTGCTTCACAAGCCCTAGATTACTCTGAAAAAGCCGAATGCCTTGCGGACAACCTAGAGCAGCAATATACGCCATCGCGCGAACACGTCGATAAAGCCCACCTAACGGAGTTGGATCGCGAAATGGAACTTAGGACTGCGCTACCGCCGGTAGGCGAACCTTTAACCTCAGTGAACCCCGACGAGGTCCAAGATAACATTAAAATCTCAAACATAAATCCATTTGGGTTTGATTTGGGCCCAGATAAAATTAATAATAAAGTCTTAAAATGTCTCCCTGTCCGATTTTCTGCATACTGACGACCATCTTCAACACACTTCTCTCCAGCTGCTCCTTCTCGGATGACTGGAAAGAGGCCACTGTCATTGGCATTCGCAAGTCGAAGAAATCCGCTAATAAGCCATCTAGTTATCGTCCTACCAGCCTCCTCAATTGCTTGGGGAAGCTATACGACAGGCTCATATTAAATAGACTCAAAGAGTAGCTATTTTCAAACGGCCTTACGCCTGTTGAACAATTCGGCCTTCGAGCTAGACACTCTACCGACCAATAATACCGCCTGACGGAACACATTGTGAAAAGCTTTAATCACCCCAAACACCTAAGCACCGGGGCTCTCTTCTCCGATATCGCAAAAGCTTTGGACAAGGTCTGGCACAACGACTTGCTTTACAAGCTGTTCGCGCTCAACGTCCCAGACAGACTCGTGCACACCATCCAGGCCTTCCAGTTGAATCGCTCCTTTCGATATCGAGTAGAGAGCACCCTCTCTACGAACTACCCTCTCACGGCAGGCATTCCTCTAGGCTTCTGCCTCTCCCCGTTGCTTTTTACGCTCTACACGAGCGACATACCAAGAGACCCGCACTCTCTCGCAAGAAACTCGCCCTTTTTGCGGATGACACGGCCCTCTTTTAAAAAGATAAAAAGCGCCGCCGACTGCCTCGGCGATTGGTTCCACAAGTAGAGAATAGAAGTAAATCCCGAAATTCACTTCATATGAAGTACTTATCCGGCACACCTTTATAAATGCCCTCGCCAATGCAGAAAACTAGGGCAAATATGACGGCCAACCGTCAAGAGATATTTGCCCTAGTTTTTCCTTGGAAGAAAAAGGCCAAATATCTAGGAGTCACTTTCGACATTAACGTTCAAATCGCATATTAACGATATTGAAAACAGAGTCGCGTTTCATCTCCGGCCGACCCTATCACCTAACCAATGCGTCAATTAAAATGCCGTTAAAAGGCACAAATTATTATTATATAAGGGCTGCGTAAGGCCTATTATATTCTACGCGTGCATGACTTACGCCCACACAAACCCTACCCGCTTGTACAAGTTGCAAAATGCACGGTGACTGCAGAGCTGAACATCATCCCGACCCTCCCATCTCCCAAGAAGCGTCGCCCTCGCAACGTCCTCATCGACCCAGTCAAAGAAGGGGACTCAAGTAAATCGGACCCATCGTTCGGCCCTTAACGGCCCTTAGGCGACATGCCATAATTAACGCACGCATGAGTAGGCCGTAGCCACTGAGGGAACCTCAAACCTGTGGGTTCTGGCTGGCCCACCGGTTCTGCGTTCGATTTAACTTTAGTAGTCTAAGGACTGAAAGCGTAACATCAGTTAAACAAAATAAAAAAAAATAAATGCGTGCGTCAAAGACAAAAAAGTTGAAAGTCGTTTATCCACTATCACTATATATATCGATCGCGCCTGATTTGTTCCAGCTCCCGCACCGCACCCTCGCAATTTTAGAAGCAGGGACGTCCGATTCCGATACTCACCAAGTCGCGAACGACGTAACGTGCATTATAGTCGTATCTTTCCTACTTCAATCAGAGATCATGTACCATCGATAAGATTGTTTGTAGGCGCAAGTTTTAGTCAGTCCCATCCGTTAAGTTTATCTTTTGTTATAAATTGAAGCAAAATGAGGTTCAAAGCAAAAATAATAGTTTTTATTGTGTTAGTAGGTGGCTTAATTACTGGCAAAATACATTTTATGCTATATTATATTTTCTTTCTTTATTTCACAATGCCGCCCGCGCGTACCTTTGTACCCTCGCGCCCCTAGGCACATGCCTAGTTTTCTTTAAGGATAATCCGCCTCTGTTTGGGTATATGTGTGTAATTATAAGTTGTTAAAACGTTTTCAGCATTAACTATCTCTGACGAGTAGTCAGTCAGTCAGTCTGAAGAGTAGTCTTGGAAGGAATATTTTTGATTGTTCATTTATTTTGTAAGCAACATGCATAAAATATTATTATATTACATTACTTACGTATTTCTCAATACAATGACGAAATTTTCTGGATTATCTTTTAATCTTTTCTGTGCACCTGTAGGAGGATTTTGAATGTGAAATTACTAAAACAATGACACCGAATTCGATATTAAAGATATTATCGTAAAAAAAGGGTCAAAGATATTATCGTAGGCAATTTTGAAGTTATCAAATCGAAATATTACTTAAGTACTCATAATTCTTTCTCATTGTTTTTACAGCTTTGGTATTATTATAAAAACTAAGTAGAGAGGTATTTACTTTATCAAACAAAAATAGTGAATAATAATTTATTGTTTTATCTTCGGAGCGCTACTTCCAAACTTTCGAGTTTAAGACATTGGACTTAGGGAATTTAAAATATATCTTGAAATTGTTTGTTTCGAGTTTTCTATTTTATTATTATTTTATCTATTACTAATAACTTACTTATATATAATATAAAACGAGCTAATATAATCAGGACAATAAATAATTGAGCTTATCTTAGTCCTGCAATTCCATCCGTGACCATTGTGCATCCGTAAGGGAAGGGAGAAAATAGCAAATAGCGTAAATGTTGAAAACGAAAATATTAAGCTGATTAAAAACACAAAAATGAGAAAGGATAAATTATCCATCAATTATCAATACATCTAGTTTTGTGTTAGTGTGGTAAAAAAAATATCAACTCACGTATTCTGATAGTGCGACTCCGAATGCGAGCCGGTGGGTGGTCGCAGTCGGGCAAGCGGTCTCTGCAAAAGCAGTTGGCGGAATGTCTGACGGAATTGACGGGACATCGAACAGTAAAGGATGAAGTTTATTGAGCCGTTCACGAGCGCCAACAGGTCCATAGTTTCGCCGAACAGGTTGTAGCACCTTTTGAAGAAGCACAAACCCAGCAGCCCGCTCATCAACCCCAAGATTCCTTGCGGTAGCTCCGTCAGCAGAAACAGCAAGAGCACCGCTAGCAGCATCTTCGTCGTCCTATCCGTCCTTTTGTCGGCCTTATGCTGCCTTTTGACCATCTTCTCCGCTGCTGGGCAAGCACCGTAATTCCTCAAGTTCTTCTGATGCTGATTGGCATTGTATAATGCCCTTATAAGCCACACACTTATTATGGTCAGGATAGAGCACGGCAACAGCTTTATGAGGACCGCATGAACCCAAAAATTTATCTGATACAGCTTTCCTTGGCTGTCTGAATCAAGATGGTACGCGATGGCGTGATTGCCCTGCGCGTCACTGACGTCCTTTGTGTGGATGTCGAATACCTGACGAAAATTAATAAATTATGCAAACATACATTCAATGGTAATTCACATTGTACGAAACGCTTTTGAATTGAGTTTTTTTTATAAATAACTATAAAGTTTACATTTTGTTTTACTGCAAAACTGCCTTATATTTTGACAGCTGTTAAATAGTGTAGGTAATACTGACACTAATTTTAGTAATTAATCTATGAGGCATCGGCAGAGAGATTGCAGACGCATTTCATTAGGGATAAAAATTTAGTCAACCGTCCATCGTCTATGATGCATTTTATTATTTTAACAATAGAAAGACTCGGTATATGGAAAACAAAACTTTTAAAGAAACATTAATTAAATTATTAATGGTTATTATGCTAATATTAATCCCCGAGCTCTCAGAAGACCGGCGTGAAGTGGAAGTATACTCTATGTGTATACTTCTGCGTTTTGTCTGGTGAGGGACGTAGCCGAAGGCCGGGGCTCACTTTATTAAAAGGTGAGAACTCATCTGCAACCCTACGGGTTTTGCAAATGTCCAGGGGCGTCAGCTATCACTTAACATCAGGTGAACTATAAGCTCCTTCCCACCTTCTCACGCAAAAAAAACAGCTACCAGGCAAAAAAAAATACGTCAGTCCTTTATTCGATATTTTAATTGTTGGTGGTGGCACATACAGGGAGACTTTTTGAAAAGTGCCCTAATTTACACAGGATGTTGAGACTCGGTAGTATAATCGTTTATATAAATACACAAACAACTTAGATAAGTTAAAATTAATGTAATTAATTAATTACGAGTGATTTAAAATATTTATCATTTTTATATAACATTATTTATGTCTAGAATTTGTTTAAAAATGGATACACTTAGAAAAGCCCCTGTATACACAATATCTGTGTTATATTTTAATTGGAACTTACCATAAAAGTCGGTATGCACAGTATTGGTGGAAGAATGAAGCTAGATAGAATTGCAATGCTACACCTACGCTCGGTACACAATATATGGCTTCTGTCAGAGTATCTGCAATACGTTTTATAAAAAGAATATCAATAAATAGACAGATATGAAATTAAATAAGTATTGATTATACTGTAAAATATAAAGTAATATTATCTTAATTTAAAATGTATAATAAAAATACTGTATTCATTGAAAGGAATTTTAATTAATGTTGCGAAAATGCTTACTTGATAGCTATATATCTCCAAATTGCTAATGAGAGCGTAAGGCAGATGGACGCTGTGTGTAATATTTGAGCAAAATGCATGTGGAATAATAAATACATCGCCCATGAATATGGGAAATCAAGCTTTTCTGGAAGTACCTAAAATTAATTATAATTATGTTAACGAACATAATATAACTATTAAGGGGTTAAAATATTGAAAATATGATACAACCAACGAATGGATGATCGTAGTAAAAAAATATATGATCTTACTAAGTATTTATAGACTGCAAAAGGTATGTATTCGAGCATCACGAAAACGTCGGCAACTGCAAGCCATTTAAGAAGTCTGTTGATGGGAGCAGCAGCCATGTCCTTTCTGGTCAGAACCGCAACGTTCATCGAGTTAGCAAGTAATCCAATAGTGCAAACCTGAAAAAACCTCTCCATTAACCGAATAATAATTCCTAGGCCTATTTCTATAATCTCAGTTTTTGCTAAAGTTTTTGAATCCATGTTGTGTCCAAGTGTGTATTATCATGGCATTTAAAAGATCTTATTGTTTCGGTACTACATGGATTTGTCGAAGGACGCTCTACTTCAACAAATCTCATATCCTTCGTCGGGGATCTTATTGAGGCAGTAGACTTCAGTAAGACTTTCGATAGAGTGAATCATGAATTACTGATCGCCAAACTCTCGTAACTTTTAATATCTGGCAGCTTACTAAACTGGTTTAGGTCATATCTAAAAAGTAAAAAATCGACAGTCGTAATGAGTAGTCATAATCCTATGCCTTTTAGAGTATTATCTGGTGTTCCCCAAGATTCTAATCTGTGTCCTGTGCTGTTCAACTGTTTTATAAACGACATAGAAACTGTTTCAACCACTCAAAATATTACACGTTTGCTGATGACTTAAAGTTTTTTAGAACAGTAAATTCAACTCAAGAAGGTATGTTACTGCTTGAGGATTTAAAGAATCTAGTCTCATAGTGCAAAACAAACGGCATATTAAAAAAATGTTGCGTGGTACATTTTTCTAGGAACATAATGCGTAAACGGTCAGCCACTCACTGAGGTGGTTAACATACGCGATTTAGGCATTATTCGCTGTAACAAGCTTAGATTTTATATACAAAATACATAATATATAAAATACAAAATATATAAAATACACATCGACACAATCGTTAAAAGAGGTTTTAAAACGTTGGGTTTTGTTTTACGGAATTGCAGAGAATTTAAGAAACTCGACACTAAAATAGTTGTTTACAATGCATTAGTACGAAGTAGTTTAGAGTATTGCAGTACTGTGTGGAACTCCCCCTCGCGTCACTACTCCCAGGGTTGACTGGAAGAGAATGCTTATTAGCATTAAGTTTGCCTTTTGTTTGGCCTTATTTTGGGGTGTAAACAATAAATTTAAGTAAATAGTCAATTTTAAATAAATATCAAATTTAAATAAATAGACAAGTGGCGCTCTTGACAAGCGAAATCGCTGAGATATCGAATCGATTGTTCGACAACTTAGCGAACGCTTGGACCCTGTAGAAAAGCAAAAAAAACAATTTTAAATGTCTGATTGCTATTTAGGCTGTCGGTGTCGTTTTTTTAATTTTCACGTCTCTTTTGTTTTTATGAATGAAAATGCATACATTGCGTTTGCTACGAGTGGCACGTAATGAAAGTGTGTGGTTACGTCGTCAAAGAAGATATAATTACCGGTAAAAAATGGAAAGAGCGGAAGATATGCCGGGGGTACTATTTATGGAGCATTTCCGTTTAAATAAAAGTATAACTAATATTCACATATTGAATTTTATTAATAAAACTTGGGTAAATGTTATTGATTAATTCAATAGTGATTTTTCTCTATCGTTTAAAATTTATTTCAATTCAATTATGCCAAAGTTAAAGTTATGTACATTTGCCTAAAATAATCTCTAAACACAAGTACTGAACAACGAACTCAAGCGTAACGAAGAAACGACAAGCATATAATAGTGACGCAAATGAGGCCTATCAATACTGCGCGGCGTTTAGAAATTGATCCTCTTTACGTTATATGATGATACGGAAAGAGATAAGTCTATAGAATTACACCAATTGGAGTAATTTGAGCGCCTCAATTTCGGTGCGCCATTGTACATATCTTTTTATATAATATCATTGTAGTATACATTCGACATATGACTCAATGTCAAACACGTAAACGCGTTCCGAGATTTTTTATGTATTAGTTTTTGACTGAAATAAAAAAAGTGTGTGTACTTATGTACACGCGTTAAAAGTTATACTTCTTTGGCGTAAAAAGATAAAAATCTTTTCAAAAATCTTTATGATCTCCTTTGAATTAAGTCTTTGAATTGATCATTCTGATCATTGCTTAAACTCTCTGACCAGAATGATCTTCTTCATTCGGGTCAGAGGAGTTTAAGCATCCTTTTGGCGACTAAAATAAAATTTGAAAAGCTGACATCTACGATGATCAGTGTTTCAAAAACGCATTATCTAGTTAAATAAAGTTTATTTAAAAATCATAAAATAAATATCGTGAATACAGTTGTCAGTTCTCACGCAAACATACGTAGATGTCTATCTAATTTCAGGGTGTCGGTTTTTCGTGATGGTGTGCGCGCGCATTGTAAAAATTTATTCTCATCTTTTTTTCTTAGCGCGCCAAAAGAAATATAACTTTAAAAATAGAAAGATGAATTAATACGTTATTTTTCACCTCTCTGATATAGTCAGTTTTAATTTTAAAATATTAACAAATGCAAGATGAATTCCTCAACTTCCGCCGTAATGCACCATAGAAAATGATAAAATATTAATAGATGTTTCTAATCACGTGACACAGACATGTGATTTAAATGAAAAATCCTCGTACCTAATAAAAACATAATATGTATTCATATCTAAACTGTCTTTTGTGACATTTTTGCATTCATTTTATTTATCTTTTCAAATTTTATACATAGGTTTTTTTTTGCCCAAAGAAGTCTTGTATTTTGTATCTTGTATTAACTGATGTTTTTGCTTTCAGTCCCGAGACTATTAAAGCTTCATCTGACGCAGAACCGGTAGGCTAGCCAAAACCCACGGGTTTGGGCCCTCCGCTGTGGGTAGGGCCACGCATGTGCTCATGCGTGCGTTTAAGTATGGTGTGTCATCTAAGGGCCATCGAGGTCGCGGTTCGGACCGAAACCCCGATGGCCGTCGACTGTGCATTTAGGTAATCGGTGGCTGGGAACGGTGAGAACCACCCCGGAATGCGGGTGTAGCTTGTGTACGCGTTGTGTTGGTCTCGGCGTGCTCGGAGGCGAGGGCGAACTAGTGTGTTTGTTGTTGCACTAACTGTGGGTGTAGTGTTAAGCGGCGGGACCCCCGGCGGTGGGTCCGGCGTATCTAAGTCCCCTTCCTCGACGATAAGGACGTTTCGCGGGCGACGCTTGTTGACGTACCCAAAGAAGTATAACTTCTAACGCGTGTACATAAGTACACACACACTTTTTATGAAAGAATGCATTTACTACGTATTTTTACATGGAAAGTTCTTTTTTGGCCATGTCCTGTATTAGTGCTCTTGTGAATGAAGTATACCGTCCACAATGCGAGTTAGGTTAGAACTCTACGAATTTAATCTCTAAAATTTACTAGTAACGTAAAAAAGAAAGCACGGCATTTCATGTTGCTCAAAATTAAGGCACATTTGGAACAGGAGGAAATAAGTAATTTGAAAGTAAACATAATAATTAACACGTTCTCAATAATCTTTCTCGCGTTCAATTGAACTGTTCTCGCGGCAGTGGATTGCTAATAATATTAAATAACATCATAGTGATGAGTTTATCGACGAAGTGTGAATTTACGTTCGATCTATCTTTATTTATCCAAAATCAACCTTAACGAAAGGGCTTACCTATAGTTTTTGTATGTATAAATTCAATTTCGTATATGTATTTAGCAGCTATATCAAAACGTGTTAGACAGGACTTCGGTAATATTCTGTAGGGTTAAAGTAACATTTGTCAATTCTTATTTATAAGCACAAATTGTTCTAACTGTATAACATTTATATGTTTTTGAATTAGGATTGGATATTCTCATAAAATTTCGTATTTTAACAGCGTTGTATGGCATACTTTTTCGCTTTATTATATTTCATGAAAACTTAGATCTTTTCAAGATTCCAGAATAATGGACAAAATATACAAAACGCTTTACACTTTAAGACATTGCATTACAGAGATGTGACCGCTGTAGGCTACTCACCAATAAGCTGACGTAACCGTGAATGCCATTGTAAGTTTCAATGACATGCCTGAAGTCACCATCACAGTATCCACATGTATCAGCTTTGATAGTCAGATTCAACTTGCTTTGCGCGTCGCTCACGACTTTGACTAACACTGATCCTATATTGTTGCCTTGACCTAATGTAGCCTGCTCTCTGAGGACAGATAGAATTTTAGTCTCGTTGATGGTCTGGTTGTCTGATGAATTCTCCGATGCAGCCAGGATCTCTTGGAATATTTTGAACAGGATCTGTGTGTTATTCGTCATTTTTTTGATTATTCTTTTTTGTTTCCTGCGGAGAATATGCCGGTCGATGTTATTATTGATGTACCTGAAACAATAAGGGTAAACATAGTTATTTCAAAAACACAATTGAATTCGTGTACTTGCGACTTAGAGCTACTTTTTCAAATGCTTGATGCATACAAGAAAGTCATCAAATGAATCATGTGTTCAAACTTTTAAATACAGACCAGTTACTAGAGTTTTAAACTACATTATAGTAAATCAAAAAATATAAGTAAAGTTTATGTATCGACGATCGTAATTATGAATCATTAATTAAAGTTACACGAACAAACATAGTAATAATATTCGTCCACCATGTTTGGCATGCTTTCGCGACAATAAATGAACACACATATAGAGAATAACTTTTTAAAATTGTATTGAGCATTTACATTCTGTAAACATTAATATTTACCGAGCTATTAAATAATGCATAATTACTGTAAATATATTCATAGTTATGTAATCCGTGATAAAAACAATTTCATAACATTTTCGTATTTTTGGTGTTTTAAACTCATTATTTGGTATTTTGCTTATTTTTTACAAAAACTGCAATATTATCTTTACTACTGCATACGCGATTCGGCACCGGGGCTGTACCGCTGATGCAGTGGTGGTGGGGAGGCGGGGAGGGGGGCAGTGTCGGTATTGCGGTGCGCCGTTCTCCCTACCCTCCACCGTCGAAACATTTTGAGTTGCAGAGCCTTTGGCTGGGAAGCTTGCTCTTATTGGCACTAGCTCTCCTGGGTCTAATAGCCTCTGGTCAGGGAACTCGGGGGAGTTAGTTGGCCGTGAAAAAGGGACCGAGTAAGAAGGCGCACTAAATGTTGCAGCGCGCCTTACCTGGAAGAAAGGGCTGCTGAGGCGGCTAGCGCTGGAAGGGTCGCGGAGTTATACATAACCCGCTCTTGCCTTTTTATCTATTTCAAAAAAAAAAACAAACAAAAAAGATAACAATATATTTTTTAAGTAATGTAAAAGGCAGATATTTTAATACACACATTTATACAGAAAGTTGATAAGATCACTGACATTACAACAGTTTTTATCATTACGCATATGTCTCGAGGAGCCAAAACTAATTTGGTCTAAAGCCAAAATTATACACCAGAAAAATTTTGCGCAACCTATTCGGGCCGAGATATTACGTAAATATAAAACATTAACAAGGAAAATAGAAGGGATCATGGATTGGAAAGTGAAGGTTTTTTTTCGTCGAATGAAGTAAGAAATTAATATGAAATAAACTATTTTTGAAGTAAAACTTCTTTAGGCGCGACTAGGGAGTAACTTAGATTTTTTCTGACGGAAGTAACGTCATAAGTATATGTCATATTTTTAAAATATGACATACTTATGACGTTACTAAATATTTAATCACTTCAGTGATGTATGCCGTCAACGCCAAAGAAGTTTTACTTCAATCGCGGGTAAAGGTTACACGCACACACTTTTTTAGAGCCGCGTTAGGTCAGTATCCGGACGCTTGGCCTTTAACTCACGATATTTTCCTTCACTGCTGAGCACTGATAATTCAGCACTTAAAATTGATAATTTTATTGGTGCTGGCACTCGAACTTGGGTTGCTCGAGTAAATTAAATTAAAGGCGAGCGCCCGGACACTATTACGGCTCTATTTTTTTTGCTAAAAAGCTTTTTATTAAGATTTATGCAAGTTTTACCACGACTACTTTCCTTATTATTTTAACATGCTTCATATTTTCTAAGTATTAAGTATTACTTATTAAAACAGCAATACACTTTTCAACGAAGAGACTTGTTACTTATTTTCTTATAATGAATAGAGCTACTGCTTCGATGAACTCTATTGATAAAAAATTGTATTTATCTCATTTCATAAAGAAGTTGTCAAATCGAAGATAAATAACAATCCTAATTAATGTTTAGTAAAAGATGAGGAAAGTATTTTTCAAACAAAAGCAAGTATTTGACAATTAAAAAACAACACGACATTTTACATGCTGTACGGCAAATTTTCATATAATTATTTTCAATGGATGGTTTTATTTTTATTTCCAGTTTAATTAAAATTCGAAAGGGTTTTAAACATTTCAACACGTTCCTCAACATTGGCCGGTTATAAAGCTGTTATGGTGTTTAATTTTTTTTTCTCCTGCCCCTATCCTGGAGTCAACACGACATGACAATCACGTTGTTAATAGGTTTACCCAGGTTTTTACGACCAGCCGCCTGCTTGATGTCTGTACTTATGAACCTGTACTAATACCCTGTGTGGAAATCAAACCTACGTACCCTGGCGCCGAAGCCAATAGATTTTTTCTTTTTTAAAAAACATTACCCTTACTTTAGGATAACATTATCCTGTGTTGTAAGGACATTTTTAAATTTCAAAAAACGAAAAACTATCTGTGGGCCACACAAATAGTTTTTTTAATATCGTGACCAAGACTGATGCGCCACGGAGTCATCAAAATAGAGTAACAACCAAATATAACAAATATAGTAACAACTAGAACACTGTTTGTTTAAAAAACTAAGTTCCTGATTTTTTTAAATATTCGTGACTAAGACTAATGTTTGTACGAATACAACATTATACTTTGAATGATCTTATTTCCTTGACATTTACAAAATATTATTACGTTGTTTAGTGGTCTGGAAAATTGTAGATAATGTGATAACAGGCAGCAAAATTATTGAATATATTAATGAATAGGCTCTATGCGGGTTACATTCAACGATTCCGCGTGTCACTTTGAGGCTAATTGAGAGCTATTTGATAGTCAATGGGGCTTGGCAGCACTAATGAGACAGTTCCGTCTAACGAAGCCATGGTTTTAAAAGAGAGTCAAATATCAACAAAATACCGAAGCAAGAGATAAACGTTTTTTGGTGCGAGAGTTGGAATATGACTATGAACGGAAGCAGGAACGGAGACATCGCTGCCGATATCATAGCTGTGGTTCAATCCGCGGCCTATAACTACTCCGTGAGCATGAGAAACGGTGCGTCATAGACCCAAGAAGACTGGGTTTGAGTATTATTGTCCAAAGAAGTCAGAGCATACCTTTAAGGTGTAAGAACCATTTCAATGAGTGCTACCAAGAAGATTATCCCATATACATCTAGTACAATACTTGTTGGGTAACCGGTGCGTTGTCAACGTATAAAGAGTGGTACATGTGCCCGCAATACCAGACAACGCAAAAACTAAATATCCCCTAATGTGATAAATTCCCGGTCAATACTGTCCATTCATGCATTGCAGAAGCTATCATAGCTTCTGCAATGAATGAATACGTATATATCAAAATATTCTTAAAATAGCATGAATATTACGGACTGTTTGATGTAAATAATATTCAGTACCTGTTCTCTGTTTCAGATGTAAATTATAATTTTTAAACATGAAAATCAATAAAATGTTATTTTAATACTAGCTGCTTCCTGTGCTGCTGCGACATGAAGTAGCGCGTGAAATTTTACAGCAAATATTTAATTAGTTCGGAGAAATTTTTTTTAATGTACACACACGTATTTTTGCAGGCTACCACGATAAATATTGTGTAACTGTAACTCTCAAAAATATATTTAGTCTGAATAAGCTGGTCTGAATAAGGTTTAACATTTATGACCATTAAAAACCAACCACCACTAAAGAAACAACTTTTTCTTTTTTGGCGCGGATCTTAAAATTACTATTGCCAAAATGCGCCAAAAGATATTTCTCAAATCCTTATACATTTATTTATAAACAGGCTTCGGATTTTATTGAATTTTATAGGTTTTAATTAATAATTTCTTGCATTTACGCGATTACACATTATAAATGAAACTAATTTTACGGATTTATCGCGTTTATTTTTAATTTTAATTCCCGACGTTACGAACCCTTTACAGCGTTCATGGTCACGGGACAGACTGAAGTGTTAGACGTCTGATTGTCACAGTTAACCCGGGCTACCGTCAGTTTTTGAATTATTAATTTTGTGTCCGATCTATGCAGAGGGAGCGTGGTCTAACGACGGGAATTAAAATTAAAAATAAACGCGATAAATCCGTAAAATTAGTTTCATTTATAAGGTTTTAATTATTTACAAAAGTAGCCAAGTTATTCCTTATATTAGCAAGTTAAAGTCACGTTAAAATTAGGCAGAGAGATAGACAAAAAATAAAAAAAAATAAGATTTGAAAATAAGATTTTTGTTACATGGCAATAATCATATGAGCTTTGAAAAAAGAATTTAATGTGCAGACATTTTCTTGAATGGTATGCCTCCTGCTGGTCCTGCCTCTAAAATTCTTTCATTTTTATAATAAAAGGTGACATCAATTGTCGGTAGAATTTAAAAAAAAAACAGATATCCTTGTGTACTTTTAATCAACTTTTATGCGAAAATAAATTTACTTGTCGCTTTAGCTTACGAATTTTGTGTATATTAATTGAATTCCGTACAAATATTATCATGAGCTAGAGTCTCAACCAGAAGTAAGGAGAAACCGTCGCATACAATTTAGCGAGTTAATTAACGCTCCGATCTTTCTGTATTTAGGATCTTAATAATAACTATGAGCATCTGAATTATTGACTTTCTCCGAGATTTTATTTCATAATCTTTGAAAGCGCGGAGCAACAAAATGTAGTAATAAGTATGGACATATACCTAAGGCGACATATATATCACGAACTTACATTAAACGCGACAAGATTTGTAAAATAGTTTTTGAAAACGTGAACAATTTGAGTACATAGAAGTCAGATGCAAATTTATATTTTTCATTGCCTTTTGGTTACTTGATTCAACTTTTCGATTTTAAAAATACGTGACCTTAATAATTATAAAAAATTTGTATGACATTAACTTTTTCTCATCCTCGTATTGTATCATCATCATCATTATTTCAGCCAGTTTGAGCCCACTGCTGAACATAGGCTCATAGAATGCTACGAAGTACGATCCTGAGCCACCTGCATCAATCGACTTTTCGCAGAT